GGTCCGCGCTGCCCGGCCTTGGTGGCGGGCTGCCTGGTTAGCCTCTGCCTCGCTCGCCTTGGACGAAGTGTTTGAATAAACATTTGCAACTCCAAACCCGACCCTTGCCACTCGCCCCTGCTGCCCCTCTGCAAGCGCGCATCTCAGATGCCTGGGGACGAGGGGAGATTTTGAGATCCTGTTACTTACTCAAGTCCTTAGATCTGTTTCCTGATCCCGGTGCTTGCAAGTGTTTCAGGGCTCCTCTTCTTCCTCTCCCTCCCCTTAAACACAGCACACTCTCCCCCTTCCCCCTCCGACCCCTTTACCAAACCTGCCTTCCGGAGACTTGTTGAAAGAACCCCTGGTTTCTTCTCGACCGTAGAGCCCAAAGTTTTGCCTGCCGGAGCAGCAGCAGACTTTACTGAGAAGCTGTGTACTGGCGTTCGTTCACTCTCAGAGCCTTTCTCCCTGCTGTCTCCCGGTAAGTATAGGAAAATCAGCGGAGGCTTTTTACATATAAGGGTATAAAGGATCCCCCCCCACACACACACACACGTGTACACAACTTCCCCGCTCCAACAGTAAACTCCCAAATAAAGAGAAACCAGGTGAACATCTATCGTAAAGGGCACAGACCAGCTTAGAGAAGCTAGAAGCTGAAGCGTTTATTTCAGGTCAGTGAAACAGAAGGGGTGGGGAGTACAGGCGGCGAGATGTATTAACACGGAGTTATCTTTTTTTTTTTTTTTTTTTTTTTTTTTAAATAAGGAAACCTCGGATCAGAGTTTGGCTAACAGTGTAAGTGCTGCTATAAAATATAGTGACAATGAGTCCTTTCCCTCCCCCACTCCACTTTACAACTGTTAATTATTTCCAACTCATTGTGTTTAAATGCCATTGCTTTGCCGATTGCAAAGTGTGTTGGTTTTAGCCTGCCTTCATTCTACCCATTGGTCTTAAAATTTTGCTTGTAGTGAACCAAAAAACTCCTAAAATGGCCCTTTTAAAAAAAACCAAAAAAACGGCGGCTGTCAGTGTCAACTCTTCAGACATAATGCTCCTACCAAGCATTTCATTTAAGAGCTACACATGCTTCTGAATTCCACTTTAAAGAGTTCTGGCTTAATCTCCTAGCCTCTCAAAAGTTTAGGGTTTCACTTTTAGTAACTGTTGTGTGAATGAGTAATGTGTACAATATTTGCACAGCGTGTGTCTGTATAGGATACAATTCTGAATCCTGTGGTACTGAATAATTATACATATTTTTTTAAAAAAATCTTGCTTTAAATTAATTTTTTTCTGTTTTTATACATTTGTTTTGGTTATCTAACTTTCAGAATGTCAGTATAATTAATTTAATTCTCTTAACTAGGCAGATAGTGACTTTAAGTATGACTTTTAAAGACAAGTCCTACTCAGGCTCCTTAAGGTAGTAGTTATCTTTGGGTTAATTTTGTTGGAGGCAGAAATAGATGTTTGAAATACTTAATGGTATTTTGCAATTTATATGATTGAGAAGTGAAATTCTGTTGTTGGTTTTTTTTTCTGCAATGTTAAGCCTGAGAGATTTTCAAATATTTTGAGTTCTACAAGAACAAAGTAGATCTCAGAAGGGAGTGTACTATGCATCTTTGAAACCATATTGAGATCAAGGGAAGGAGGGGAAACTTGGACTTTTGGTTTCAAGTTCTCTGTTGAAAATCCCCCTCTCTGCCCCAAATTTTATTTGAACTATCGCACAATTATATAGAATGAAATGGTGATGGGTGGGAGACGAATCTCCACTAGTCACCATTCAAAAGGTGGCGGCCAAAATCTCACTGCAAAAAGGTATTGTAGCTTTAACATCTTGCATTGGCAGCATTCTTTCCCCTTAGTCTTTGGATTAGTCATTGTATGAGAGAGAGAGAGGGGAAAAATCGCTTTTTTGAAAAAAGTAAGTAAACAGCCTCCAACAAGTGAACCTTGACAACCCAGATTAAGGAAGGCAGTAGAGATCAAACAAATCTGCTGCTGGGCTGTTGTCAGGAGCTGCCTCACTGAAAGCTTTGGACTATTCGATCAGGCAGCAAGGTTATATGTTCACTTATCCAGAAATGGACCATTATAAATGCTGATCTTTGTTGTGAAACCAAAAAATAACTTTTGAGAGAAACATCTATAGTATTTTCAATTCAGTATTTTTCCTATCTCTTCAGATTCTGACTTGCAGAACTAGTTAATGAAACAGACTTTGGGACTGTGGTGTGTCCAGTTTTAAGTTGATTTTCCTTTTGATATTATTTACAATAACTAGAATTATAGAGAAGAATTATGAAGTTCACGAACATCATGTTACCAAAAACTTAAAGTTTTATGAAGTTCACCTCTAAAGTTCAGTATTTCTGAATTGCCATTAAAAGAAGTGTGCATGTAAAGGTGGTGTTCTGGTGTAGACGACACAATTTTTTTTCTTTTTTTAAATGTAACTCAACTCTTGGAATTTAGAAAACAGGTGATTTTTCTATATATAATATCAAGCAAGGTTTTATCTTTTTGGCCATGTCCTAATTTTTACAAAAATCTTTAGATAAACTTAATTATTACTTTCTTTACACAAAAAGCATAGTACCAAATGTCAGCATAGTGTATTCTATTTTGTTTTACTTTGAGAAAAATGTAAGTGTCAACTTGTCAAATTACATTATTTATATTGCTTTAAACCTTTTGTAGGATTCTGTACTCCTCTTCAAACACTCTTGTGTCAACTCTGCAAATGTGATTCACCATCTAGTTTCTTGATATAAAATATCTTAAAACAATGGAAATAGAGATTTTTCAAATTAAGTAAAAAGCTGCTACATTAATGCATATTAATCAGGAAATTACACATATACATGTATTGCATAATAAAAAGCCTGCACCAAATAAATATTTCTTTAATTGGCAGTAAAGACACACAATAAGCACGTTATACTGTTTTTTTATAACCTAAGATTTCATCATCATCCTGCACAACTTATTGCAAACCCAGTAGCTTTTTATAGCATATACTTTTTATTTTCTAATTAAAGTATGCATGTTAAACATACATATGTATGCTGTTAAGCCATTTTGGATAATACGTAATGTTTATAGCTGTTAAAAAACATTTTCTCCTTAAATCAGTTCCACCAGGAATAGTAATAACAACCCAGCTGGCTTTTATACTGGTACGCAAAGGAAAAAGAGTTAAGTGAAGAATTGTACATTCAACACTGTTGTATTGCAAATGTGGCATAATACTGTTTTATTAGAGAAGATCACTGTTTAACAGAGCTTAAACTTGACCTACATTATTACTATGAGAATAGTGTAAACATGTAAGGCTCTCAAATCTATTTTGTTTCATGATATTGTAAAAGAATAAGGGAAAGGTTAGTAGTGAACAGGAAGGTTTTTTATGGAATACAGTTAAGTATTAAGTATTCTTGTGGCCTTTTATATTGATAGTTTGAATTGGATGACTGTAATTTCATGAAATATTTTTTCTAACCTGTATGTAAAATGTATATAACATGTGCACTTACATACAACATGTTTTTGTGATACTTTTTTTTCCAGCAAGTGTGTTCAGTTATTTATATTTTGTGATGGGGTTCTTGTCTTTGTACATTTTCTCAGAAGTGCTTTAATAAAATTTAAATAGATCATATGCTGTCAGAAAATAGTATAAATTTTGTTTACGATTCAGTTGGTTTAAGGTACTTAGAGTAAAGAAGCTCATTTAACCCCAAGACTGAGTAGCATTAAGTGGCGAGAGGTCTCATGAAGAGCTTCTACTGCCCTTTGCACTTGTGGTAATCTTAAATTATTACAGTTTAATTGCAACTTCAAGGGCCTGAGCTGAAATGTTTTATGCAACTGAGAAAGAGTTGGAGAAAAGTGTAACTAGATTGGCACAGGTAGTTGGTTTCCTTTGAGCAGGAACTGCATAGATTCAGGCCTTTTCTTACCTTCTGTAAATGCATGTTGCACTGAAGTTTCATGTAAGGGCCTATCAGGTTTCACTGAAAGAAAAATCCAATAGCAAACCTTCTATCAGACTTCAGTGAGAACAGGATTGGGCCCTTATAGAAGCGACTGAGCTGAATGGGTGAATACATATTTTGCACGTTGTCAGTGGATTATGCATTTAGGTAACGATACCCCCCCCCCAAACATTCTTTACTGTCTGTTTTTCATAGTCACCTCAAAAAGAGAGTTTTCTTTTGAGGGCAAAAGTTTATTTAAAAACCTGAAGGAAATAATGACTGGTTTCAGCATTAAGGTTGTGATAACAACCAAAAAAAAATAAAAAATGGAAAAACAACAATAATGGCTTGCACTCTGTCTGTACTGCAGCTTGTTCCTTTATGACTAGGCACTGCAAGTGTCTCAGATGAATATAGCTTGCTATCTCGCACATGTGTCACAATACTTGCTAAATGACTAGTCAAAGACGCTCATTAAATGAGTGGGTCTAATTTGTAGACATTTTTGCATTGGACTCTTCCAGCATATTTGCAGTATAGGTGGTTATTCTCAGAGAGCCTGACCCAGCAAAGCAGTCAAGCCTGTGCATAACTTGAGCACTAGTGGACCTAGTGACTTTGCATGCTGAAAGTTATATACTGTACATGCCTATTTGGATCTGGGCCATGGAGAAGTAAAATCACGATTTGAATGGTTTTGTTAAGCTGAATGCTTTGCATGTGTTCTTACTGCAGTAGGAAATTAACAAGATTGGCTGTCTGTAGGATTGTTCTCTTTTGCTCTTAACTGAAGCACCGCTCACAGTTTACTGATCTCTTAAACTACTACATAGCTTGGTTCCCAGAGCTATTGCTGTGTTCGTAATGGCAGCTACAATAGGTCATACCCAGTGACATCATTGTATTCTGAGTGGAGGAAGTAAAAAGGAATAAACAATACAGTAATCAGGAAAGAGTTAATGATACAAACTTTCTGATTTCCCTAATGTTTTTATTAATTAGATTTTTTTTTTACCCAAAGATTTAAGGAGCTGCTTCAGTTTTAGAAGATCAGACATTTATTGATTGGAATGTCTTGAGTACTTTAACATTTTTTTTCATTTTTCTTTCTTTTTTTTCTCTTAAATCTACCTAGTCCCTGAAGCTTCCAGGCTTTGCTACAAGTGAAATCTAGGGTGTTCTGTCTTTCTGTTCTCCTGACACTAATCTCCTGTATACCTGAAGTGCACACTATTGTGTATAACAAGGTGTTTGTGAGACCTGTACTCAAAGTAAGCTGCATAATTATTTATTCAATCCAGTTTTGAAAATAATGTTCCATAAACAACTGAGAATACAGGAAAAAAATGAACAAAACCAGCTTCCGCTTAGAAAGAACCTAGTACCTCATTAGGGCTCTGATTCTCCCCTACCACTGACCCTCCTGCTATTCAGAAAAATCTCGATTTAGTGCCTTGAAATTGCAATTAAGTTGTAGTAATTTAAGATT